AGAGTTGGATGACATTTTTTGTTGTGTTTTACCGGTCCACACCCTGGCCCATCCCCTTCACTGCAGGGGTGGGGTAGTAGCCCATGGATGCCGAGACCTTGCGGTGGAAACATGAGGCCTCGCCCAACGTGCGGAACCAACGCAACGAGACCGCCTTTCAGGCGGTCTCGTCGGGTGGAAAGGGTGTGTGTGCAGCTCCTGCAGGTATCATACAGCAAACAGAACAGGTAGCATCTGTTCTGGGTGCTCTGAGGGTGTTGAGAAGATGAGATCCCAAATCCTAGATGATTTGCGGAGCGCAAGCGGAGGAAGCGACTGAGTGACTTACTGAAGGTCCGCGAGGATTCGTTTTGCCCCACCAAAGCGATAGATGACATTCTGTGATCTGGTGAAATATGACCAAGTATCACATCCGAGAACACCAGCGAAAACGACGCTAGTGTGGTGCATTCTTGTCCAGTAACAGGGCCTGGGGGTTTTCTCTGACCCATTTCAAGGTATAAAAGTCCTCACACTATAGACTGTAGATGACTGTAGACTTGGTGAAGAAACACTTGCTTGGCACACCTCGAGAGAGCCGGGCTGAGTTCAAGCAGGAGGTGCACGTTCTCGCCGTCCCAAAACCGAGAACAGCTGCGTTCGGCCCCCTGAAGCCTGGAGGAAGAACGCCACGATCGCACCAAGAGAAACAACTTGTGGAACTGGGCGGTACCTTCCCTGAGGTCTTTCTCCCAACTCCTTCGGTCCAGTGGAGCCATCAGCCACTCTCGGTCAGGTGGCAGGTACTCGAGGCTTTGTGGAGGTGGCAAGGGCCATGAATCCCTTCGTGTGGCTTGGCCGTGGGTGTCGGACGGTTGAGGATTTTGGGGAGGATGAGGGGGGGTTTCTTCCGTGCGCGCTGGTTCACTGGTGATCAGTTGTGTATGGAATGGTGTTTGCTCTTTTTTCTCTCAGGTCGGTGGAATGGTCGCTGGTCCAGTGGTCATGTCGTGAAGCGCCACGCATTTCTGGTGATCGAGTGAAGGACCAAGGGACCGAAGCTCGAGGTCCCGTGACGGTGTGAATTCCGGTCGCCATGGGTGTTCAGAATCGCCGAATGAGGATCATGAATGCTTATAATTTATGATTCATGATCGTATACTGATGAGTTTACATCATGTGAACTTTCATGTCCCAAGAAGCCTGGCCAGAATTGCCACATGTACCGCCAGGGTTGTCCAAGATTTGTCCTAAAGGAATGGCGGCTTCTTGTGCACGAATCGTCAGGTCAGCGGAGCAGCCCATGCAGGTGGGGGCAACTATGGGCATTTGGGCTTGTTTCTCTACTTTCTTTTCACCTGTTAATCTCCATGTATATATTTTCCATCAAAACTGAGGGGGGGGGTACGCTTTTCTTCAAGGCAACATTTCTGGCAGTAGCTGTTTCTCCACAAATCCATCAGTTCCGATCCTATGGCCCCGAAATGAGTGAATCGACTGGTCCAACCAGTGGCTCAGGAACGGCGGCCTACGGATTTTTGGTCTCTGGTCTAGCTCCCATTTGTCATTTTCATCGAAACATGTACCGCTCACAGCGCTCCCCTGTCTTTTTCTACTGAGCTTACTGAGCGATGCAGCGATGCACAGTCCATTCCATCAACTTTGCGTTGATCATCGCAGCATCACAGGTCACCCAGCCGGCCCCCCCTGGCCTTTGCGCAGACCCTGCCACTTGGCTGATCGAATTAGTCTCAATTCGGAAGCATGCCAGCCGAGTTCCGGCCACTTTTTTGGGCCACACCCATGCCGCCATCCCCCGCAAGCTATACTTGTCATGAACTCCTGGATGATCACTGAGTCCTGCAGTGGAACATCGGAACATGGGGCGATTATCGAATCAACTCAGTGGTATTGGGATGATAGAGTTTTTTTTTTAAATCTATTTCCCTCCTCTCCCCAGCGGCCTCACTCAGTCGACTCGGTGCGGGCAACGCGCTCGGCGATGCCAGGCCGGCCCAGGCGGTGGCGCTCGCCGGAGCCTGGGAGGGTCCGAGAGTTCGGACGGGGCTATGGGGGTCGAAGTCTGAAGAGTCCGAGCTGCTTTTTCAATCAGAGCTGTTTTATCAGACACTGATGCATTCTTCGGATGAAGCTGTTGTTTATGTTGACATACTTGGTCTGAAGACCTGTTTGCATTCTCACAGATCAAGCAGCACACTTACACGCGTTCAGCATCCAAGGAGCTTCATACCAAGTAGCCTAAGGGTGCTTTCTGCTATGTCCTGGATTGCATTGTCATTTTCATGCCTCCAAACTCAACACAAGACTCACAAGACCTACAATTTTGCAAGTCGGCCATTGCTTTTTCTTCCTTCCAGAAGTTCCTTATACCAAGAGTGCTCCATCACCTGGATCTATGACATTTCTACTGTCTGTGTGCAACAAATGTTTGACCAAGTTATATATAATATATTATATATACACCCAATCCTTTGTAGGTGCAGCTTGTGAGATTTCGGGGAGTTCTTGATCAAGGGCTGGGTTTCATATTCTTAAAGCTTCCTTGGCCTTAAAGCTTCCTCGGAGATTTGTATTAACAAGCTGTAATGAAACGTTGGAAGAGCCTTTCTGTCTGAAACTTTGGTGAATCTGACACAGCATCTAGCTTGACCTTTGAGGTCGTCTAGTCTGTTCATTTGGAGTCCAAGCTATCCATCGGTCTAACACTGTTCAGCCAAATCAGAACCTTCCGTTGCTTTTCCTACCTCTTGTGGCTCTGGTTGCCTCACGTTGGACTCAGGCTTCGCCAGTCTCCTTGGGTGCCGGCAGCCCCGTCGGCAGCCCGTCGCCGACCGGGCGGGTGCGGCTGGCAGAAGATGGGCGACGGAGGGGAGATGCGAGGGTTCCACTTCGAGAATGCAGTAGAAACAAGTGCCACGCTACTAGTAACAAGTGCCTTACTACTGACTAGTAACAAGAAGCTAATAGAAACAAGTGCCACGCTACTACTGTCGGTATAGTGCGGTGCAGTCTTGGGGAATCAACGCACCTCGCATGTCCGACCTGGGAATTTCGGAGGGTGCACTTGAAAAGAGAACAGGCTATAGAGCCTCTGAAGAGAAAGAATCCAATACATACCTGAGGTTGTTTGTGGAATGTGATCACCGTGGCAGCGAAACACGGAATCATCAACGGCTCAGGTAGCTGTAACCAAAGGTGGGCAAACCAGAGGGGTTGCGTCGACTGTGGAACTAGAGATTGTAGAAGTGAGCATGATCGCTTCGCAGGTTTGCCGTTCTCCCCAAAAAGGCCCGAGCAGCAGACTCTGTGCTTTTGGAGCAATGTCTTGCAGACACCCTTGTGCGCCGCACTTTGGGGCCAGGCCAGATCTCTTCCACCTCCACGAACTGGCAAGGAACCACTCATGGTCTGGGCCTGAGTCACTCATGGGGGTCTGAGTCGATTTTTAATGGATTTACCTGGTGAGTCAGTCTCTCAGTTTCCCTAAGACGTCTTGGGTTCTGAATTCGCTTCGAAACGAAAGGATTTAGGATATTTAGGATATTCGCTGTGAGATCTGCTCATCTGAGAGCGCTACTCCCCTGTTCTGATCGCACGGTCCCATGAGTGTTCGACTTCAATTACCCGTCACAGGCATTTTGTTCGACGGAGAAATCTGCTCTGAGACGAGAGGTAAAAGCCAAGTCGCCAGGGAAGAATCAACTCTCATTTTAGTTTTTGTGATGGCACACAAGTCCAAAACGCTCCAAGACAGTTGTTGTTTGGGGGGGCATGACTTGATGCGCCAACTGCAAACCACGCAAAATGAACACAGGAACGTCGCCTTTTCGGCCCCTGCTGTGCACATGGTCATGTACGACTTGCAGCTGTAGCATCGCTGTAGCATGCTGTAGTTGTAGGAGGCTGTGGATGGACATGGCAGGCAGATTTGGAATGCGCAGTTCAACCAAACTTGACCCTTACCTACCTCTAGCCTTACCACTGACAACCAGCTACATGCTTCAATTCGCACTCATTGTTTAACTTATTTTTTACCATTGAACCATCAACCACCCATGAGTTTCTCTTGGAGCACTTCGCGTTCGCACTGATGCTGCTACCCCGCCTGAGGCTCTCCTGCGCCGGGGGCAAGCGGCCTCGCCCGCAGCGACCCTGTGGCCTGGCAAGAAGGAGGACGACACAGAGACGACGGCGGCGAGAGGTCTCCATCTGTCCTGGCTCATCCGGGAGCTATTGGAGTGATGAAGAATTGGTCTGCACTCCCTGGAATCATCCTGAAAGATCATGGAAGTGGAAAACCACCTGTTGACTAGATGTGTTGATTTACTCCAACGCTCCGTGTGACGGAGGCCTGACTGGTCATCCTGGGTCCCGCAAAACTTAAAGATCGGATCGAAACCCCACACCCCGCCAGAGGGACCGAATGTCTCCATACGAGGGTCCAGGGTCGCGTCTGGGGCATGTGACTTGCCCGGGCTGATCGTCTTTGATCGCTTTCGTTGGATCCGTTGCGGAGGTCCGAAGACGCCCGACCACGCGCCCGAATCCAACGTGTGTAGACTCTTGATGAATCAAGCCCACGTTGAGCGTCTCGGGGGCCGCTCGACCGACCCTGGGAGCGACCAAAGGGTCGCGGAAAGGGCATGGTGCGACGACCCAGACGCTGACCCTCAAAACTGCTACATGTTTGAGGTCCAAAACCCTAGCAAGGAGGGTCCAATGAGCCTGTGGCTGCCACGTTTTTGCTTCATTGTGTTTCGTACCTTTTTTTTTCCCGAAGCCGTTTGGCCCAGCCAAGTCAATAAGTCTAATCATGATCAATCATTGTCAATCATGTATCTTACAATTCAGGTAGGATCCAGGCTTCATGCTCCCACATTTGCCCTTCATGCCTTGTTCAACGTCCCCTGCCCCTTCCAACCCCACAAATCGACGGGAAGACAGTGCTGCATGTCTTTATCCAAGTCGAACATCCACAAAACTAGTCTCCGGAAGGTCACCACCTACCCACAACAGTCACCAGCAGCTTCCGCGCTGCATTCCATGGCGAAAGCCAAAGCACGCAGCCGTCCCTCGGCAAGTTGGAGGTGGTTCTTGGAGTAAGCCCTCGACTCCGTTGTTTCTCGCACCCAAGATCCATCAGAACGTGAAGGGCTACAAGTGGGGATTCAAATGCATAGTAACTTGCAGAAGTACTAATCTCGGGAGCTTTTGGGGACGAATCAAGACAAAACTGGTCCACTTTTGGGAAGCGATGTGCTGTTTGGGAGCGAATCGCTCCAGAAAGACATGGGGATGGGCCGGGTCCAAACCTGGAGCCCTGGTCCACCTTGACCTTCCGGGTATGGGTCAACCGACTGGTTTTTCATGACCGCCATATGGATCACCATGGATCCGTTTGTTGGTTTCGGCTGACAGAGGACTGTCGAGGTTCGGGTGACAGCTTTCACAGCGTCGATCGCTTCCGGTCGCCTCCCTCCCGCGGCGAGTCCAAATGATTGCGTAGACGTTGCATTTATGGAAGAGTCTTAATCTCGCCACTGCAATCCGCTGCAGTAGTATCATTTATACTGGTATTATTTTAATATTATACAAATAGCATGTCATCATCTATATTGTCTATTGTAATACATAATTCATATATATAGATGGCTGTACCCCTGTAGTACCACTGAAACATACTCCCCGGGCCTCAGTCTTGCAGCTGAAATTTCTGATTCACCACCTGGGCTGCCTGCGATGCCGCGCACGGAGCGCGAGGTACCTTCAAATCGCTGGAGGAATGTCTGGCGGCGGCCGGGCGGCTGGAGGAGGAACCGGATGCCACCACGCGGAGCGCGTGTCGCTGGGGCGAGAAGAGGGCCGTAGGTTGGGCTGGTGGGTGAGGCTTTGGATGGTGGGCCAGTGAAGGTCTGGAGGTCTTTCAGGATCGATCTCCGACGAAGTCCAATGAATTGTGGGTCTAGATCTTGGAGGAGATTTCGGGTAGTGCTGAATTGACCGGGGAAAGGGCACTCAGATGTGGAATTAGTCTGAGCATGAGACAAAGGTAGAGAGTCCGGATGTGTTTTTTTGCTTTATAATCACCCAAGACCACATCAGCCTCACTGTTCACATGAACAGACATCAGATGCCGAGGTCGAAAGCCGCACCAAAGGAAGGAGGAACATTGACCAACATGATGGTTGCTTCTCCCCCCAACACCATTTACCCGAAGACAGCGATTGGACATCCATGAGCAACACCACCACCACCAGCTTTTGCAAATTATCACGTTGTCATAATAATGGCAATATATGGTAATAATCATAATCATCCATCACCATCACCAAAAGCATCATGATAATCACCAACCATCATCATCATCATCATCATCATCATCATCATCATCACCATCACCATCACCATCACCATCACCATCACCATCACCATCACCATCACCATCACCA